CGTCTTCTAGACAAGCGAGCTAGCGCATTAGGAGGGCGGTTGCATTGATTGGAAAATAAGTACTAAAAATGCTGATTACATAATAAATCTATATCCAGCATTATTATTCTGAATATTCAAGGTTGTCTTATTGTAATATTACAATTATCTTTTGACTATCAAACGTCTTCTAGACAAGCGAGCTCACGCACTAGGAGGGCGGTTGCATTGATTGCACTTATTCTAAAATTACAATTATATTTTGGCTAACAAACGTCTTCTAGACAAGCGAGCTCGCGAACTAGGAGAGCGGTTGCATTGATTAGGAAATAATTAAAACGATGCTGGCGGCACACACAAACAGACGTAACTCTTCATTGTGTATCTTCGTTCATGCATTTAACGGTTGATTTGAATATTATCAGACGTTTCTATATATTCTATAGAACTTTTATGCAATATTTTTTACGAGTTAACGAGCAAGATTGTTTTCCGCGAGAAGCCAGAGAGATGTCGCTACTGAGGTTATATGTTTTGAGATACTATGTTTTCAAGAACAAGTTTTTCAAAGAGTTACGTCTGTTTGTCTGTGCTGGCGGTATGCGCATGTGCAGTAAAAATAAATGTTTGTAATTCATGACCAACAGAATGAACAAATGAATTACACCGGTATGAGAAATGACTTTTATCTCTCCACAGTAGGCTTTTGAATAATTCTTGAATGCATTGGATCAGCATGTCAGTACACATTCCTGATGGCTCAGATGGATTGATAATGGTTTATAACAATATAAAGGTCACGAGTTCGATGCTGTGAATAGTAATAAAAAATCATTTTTATTTATAACACAAGTGAGTCTGTTTTACATTTTGAATTCGGAATTCATATTGATATTTTGAACATTTTAATCATTGGTTGATTGTGATGAGAATCCATTTTAGTGCAAGTGGTTTATTATGTTGATGAAACTATCCGAGGTTGATTCACTGATGCACATCACGTTTCAATGGCTTCCATAAATGAGCACAGATTTTAAAATTAATTTTAAAAGTTGAATGATGTAATAGAGGTGGCTGAATACTACTTGACTTTTAAAATACTGGAAAATTTGCCGACGATAAACCTGGAAACAGATGCTGCATATTTGGGATTATCGTTACAACTCAAGCATTTAGAAACGTTCTTTTGAACATCCACAAATATAAATTAGGAGTATGGGCAGAGATTAGATCTCGTACCCTAACCTTCGTAAGTAAATGCCACGATACTTTGAAAAATGTTGCTGGTTTTGTCCGAAATTTTGATTTTCCTACAGTGATGCATAGAGGCAATGTGATATTTTTTTACCTTGGTGGCAGCTTGCTTTCACTTTGACAAGGACCCAAGTCAGATTTATTTTGTTTTTGGTGGGGCTCCGCTACATGGCTCCTGGCCTGGCCTCTGTTGCGATGGTCTGCCGGATTCCTATCTAGCTCTAGTTTGTAGTTTTTGTGTCCACCCTTTCGTAGTATGTGGCCGAGTCAACTCCACATACATTTGCCAATTTCTGTTGGCATCAATGAAACTGCTCAGCATTTGAAATTCCGCTGTTGGTGCTGATTCTGCATTTTTGCCGCTGTTGGTCTAATCGTCTGGCGCTTTCTGTCTGCAGAGATATTGGAAAATTCCACCTTTATCCACTGCTTACCTAGCTTCCATAAAGTTGAAAGGGTTGTCCGTGTTGTAACATTTAACTATTTGGTCTTGTTGCCGTTGCTCGTGACACCCAGCACAGGCGACCTGGATAGGGTCGGACAAGGCTTTATTACGCAAAACTTTTCACTTGAAAGACTCATACCACACTTCGGTGAGGTTGATGGTTTCATCCGTGATTGAGTCGTTCGAAAGCTTCATCGTAGTCAATGAATACCGTAGGCTAGGATGAGACGAAGCGTAACAATACGATACGCCCAAGATCTTCCCGAAATGAATCCAAAGTTGCGTCGATCTTCTTTTGTATTCAATTCAAGATAAATTTGTACAGAAAATTGAGAACAATTCGCAGCTACATTATACATCACCTATTGTCACACACAACCAGATCCCGCTTATCAGGACCTTCACTAAGATGGTGTGCAACAAATAGTAGCGTCCAGATTTTGAAGAATAACATTTGCGTGGATAGCTTTGAGCATATTGCTGCTTGTATATTTTGCAATGATAAATCACCGGAGTTCACGCAACTGGTACATCCTTAGCTGATAAATTAGTTCAACTAGACCAGCTGCTAGATTCGATTTGAAAATGATTAGTTGCTTCTTTTACTGGCATCTTTAGGTTCTTCCTTGTTCCGACCTCGTGAGATATTGTAGAGGAGACGGACATCGTCAGGTGTAACAATTATCTACCGTTCATCCACCTACGCTCGCTAGCAAACAATAAAACCAATCATATCTTATTATCCTTCTTCATACTTGTATGATGAAATCATTGTTTCTATAAAAAAAGACCTCCCCCTCCTCTATCAGTTCGAATACAGAACCCTTGGATCCTAAAGCAGGAACTAGCTTACTGATCTAAGCTATCTTGAAATTTTGTTTTGTTTGAGGGCAAACAAGTTCTACGTTATGATCATGGCAAACTTTATAATTGCGCATGCGCAAAATTCCTTTTGCATTCATCGGAAGTGCTGCCAGTGTTTAGGCAATATTTAAGTGTAATTATTTTTTAAAATTGATCCGCTGGAGGAATCTGACTGAGTTAAGCATCCTTACTGATGCAACGCATCAATAAGGATGTTTAACTAATCCGGTTTCCTCCAGCGGATCAATTTTGATGTAACTTTTTTTTTTCAGAATTGATCCGCTGGAGGAATCCGACGGATTTCATTGACTGATGCAAAGCATCAACAAGGATGATTAGCTCATCCGTATTCCTCCAACGGATCAATTTTGATGTTACTATTTTCCAAAATTGATCCGCTGGAGGAATCCGGCTGAGTTAAGCACCCTTGCTGATGCAACGCATCAACAAGGATGTTTAACTCATCCGGATTCCTCCAGCAAATCAATTTTGATGTAACTATTTTTCAAAAATTGTTCCACTGGAGGAATCCGGTGGATTTAAGCATTCTTACTGGCATCAACAAGGATGTTTAACTCATCCGGATTCCGCCAGCGGATCAATTTTGAAAAATATTTACAAATTCTAACAAACAGATCCAAAATTTTGATGATTTTGTAATTTCTTTTTTCAGCCTGCTGTTTCCAATAATTAAATGAGTAATAATATTACCCATTTATGGGTATTTTTTATTCAAAAATGAATACTTACTACTTGTTTTTGTAGTTGTAATGACTCATAAATGGGTAAAATTTTACTCATTTAATGAGTAGTCCCATTTTCCCTCGAAAATGATTACTTTGTAGCCATTATTGGATATTTTGCGGTTACCGTGTAGTGAAAACTATCAATTTTGAGTGATCTCATCGGCCGTGTATTTGAACCGATTAATCGAAAATCGATCGTGCATACACGGTTAGAAAAAAGTACCCAAAATTAAGTTCTTTTCACTCATCTCGGCACTATAGTGCAGGAACCCAAAAGTAGGTAAAGCGGGTCAAAGTAATTTTCATTTACTTGTGTGCAGTTCGTATGGAATTTTCCACTGGCTTTTTAACCAAAAGTAAGTTAGTTGTACCCAACAGTAGGTAAATATGATTATACTCAACGTTGGGTTCCTACACTTTACTACCCTTGTTGGGTGGTTTTGCTCCTCCGTTTTTGACAACATTAGAAGGAGAAAAGGAGGCAAACTAGTCAAAAGTAGGTAAAAGTGAACTGGCCGTTGGGTACTTTTTTCTTACCGTGTACGCTCGATCGTGCATACGCTCGATCGTCCATTGTTATAATAAAATATCAAACTGAAGATTGCATTAGGTCCTAAGTAACATTGACAGATTCTCTTCGTCGACTTTCTCTTTGCATCCCCCCGGACATGTAAAGACATTCTCAGGTATTTTCAGCACACAGATCGAAAAAAGAAGATTTTATCTAGCATCTAATACGACAAACACATCAATAAACGGTTCTGTGCTCAAGTTATTAACGAAAGAGAAAGTCAACGAAGAGAATCGATCAATGTTACTTAGGACCTAATGCAATGTTCAGCTTGATATAATCTAATAGCGAATTCGTTTATTATTCAGTTCCAACCTGGATCGGGTATCAAGATTGGGTCCGCTTGTTTTCTGACAAACGTCAGTTTGATCGTTTGTTTTTAAAACCCAGCTCAGGTTGAGGTTCGCACTGACAAAAAGTTCGGTTTCGCACTGGGTTGGAACTGGTTCCAACCCCGATAATAAACGAATTCGCTATAAGCTTAAGCTAAGCTAAGATATAAGCTTTGTCACTATTGGGTGAGGAGATCGCGTGGTGGGGGGAGTGCAGTTTTAGAGCAAATTGTATTGTCTGTTAAGATAAAAACCGTAACGCTTCGCTTGTAAAGTGCATCGCTAGTCCATACTAGCGCACTTCGGTTTTGTGCTTTAGCGACAATAAACAAACTCGGTCGCTATGGTTGCTATCCCATACAAAAATCCAACATGGCAGAATCATGAATTTGACGCATTAGAACACCTATATGTAGTCAATGAAATTTATATAAGTTCTGCGCCAACAGGCAGCTTGCTGGTGTTAGAAGCAAAAATGTTGTAAACATTGCTGAACATCTGCGAACAGATAGAAATACGTCACTGCCAACATACTGAGAACAGATAGAAATACGTCACTGTCAACATACTGAGAACAGATAGAAATACGTCACTGCCAATATACTGAGAACAGATAGAAATACGTCACTGTCAACAGCTGTTTCATGTGAAAAGATAAACGTTGCAATAAAATACGAACACCAATAAACATTTGCACATTTCACTAATCCCAATAAGCCCTTTGGCCCAGACCTTATATAAACGTCATTGATATGTAGTCACCTTGATCTAAACGTATGTACTTTTGCGATGTTAAGTTAAAAACGAAGTGATCAGTAATCATACTGCAACTAAGAGTATCTGAAATAGAAGTGCAAGTGTTGCAAGCGTCAAAAATATAGTGTCACGATCTTTTTAGGCCTTTTCCGTTAATCGGTTCATGATCAAATAGATAAAAGTTGCGATCGATTATAAGAACCGCGCATATCGAATTTCAATAGTGGTTTTTAGTGATCAAGAGAGATGTATATTGTAAAAGTTTCCGTGATTCTGCTGTTTAATTACACTTATGTCTTTGGTGGGTTATCTGGTCTCTATGTGGATAATGGAATCGGACAAACTGTAATGGATACGATGATGAATAGTGACGATCAACTAGAAATTGAACATGAGATATTAGAGTTGCTAGGACTACCTGAGAGACCTAGAAAAAGACACTTACATTCATCAATCAGGTAAATTTTTCTAAACATGATCTTTCAGGGGACGATTTTAAATAATAATAATTAACAACAGCCCAATTCTACATAATATGCACGGGTTTACGCTTTTTTAATAGGATTTTTTCAATGCATCACCAATCTAGAGAGCGCCAGGCGAGTTCGAGAGGAAACGTCAACCAAACCGTTTGTTTACATCAGAATAAGGATTTTTCACAACGCAAATTAAATCATTTTCATTTAACATTTTGCCAATTTCCCTCGATAATTGTCTTATTTTACGATTTTCCACAGATCTGAACTGATTTGTAGCTCAACTATTCACACACAAAGAATCCGGAAGATCATGGCCACTAAGGCACTATTCTAATTTTATATTTTCCTCAACTAAAATATTCTTGAATACCAGCAGGACCCTTGCAAAATCGATACAGAATTAATTTTTTCAACTGTAGATCAAATTTTGGAGCATTTCAGGTGAATCAATTCATCAGGAAAATTGAAAAGTGTTCCGCTTCCTGTGTCTCACGCCAACACTTCCTAATCACAACTCTTTTTTGCGGTCTCTTATTAATCACCAGAGGTTGAATCTTAGTGTCTATTAAAAAGGCATATAGGCGAATCCAATAGAATTAAGCGATCGTTTCAGCCTCTGGCAGTAAATAGTGCTGAGGGCGGATATTTTCACCTTTCCTGATTAATTTATCCACCGCAAGTGCTTTAAATCGTCGTCCATATGATATATTTTGTTTTCTGTATCAATTTTCAGTTATGTGATATGTATTTCTTTGTATTTTTGATGAAGAAAATTAAGATTTATAAAATTGTCCCGGCGGTTCATCATGCATAAGAGAGATTGTTCAGTTGATGAAAAAGGATAGAGGTCAATTAGTGTAAATGAGTCCGCGAAATGAATGTAAATGATTTTCCATGTCTTTCTGTTAATAATAAAAAATAAGATCACTCACGATGGAAATGTACAAGATGTGCAATAAAATATACAATATTTAGAGTTTTGAAAATCGGCATTATGATGCAAACAAACTGATAGGCTGTTTCTATGCACCACCAATGTAGAGTGCGCTAGGCGATTATGAGAAGAAATGTCAACCAAACCGTTTGTTTACATCAAAATAACATTTTTTCTTTCATCTCAAATTAACGCATATTTTTATTCATATCTTGTATATTTTCATCGCATTTTATTATGTTTCACATATTTGAACAGATGTACAGCTCAAACCAGATGATCATAACCGCTGGGACAGTTTTATAAATCTAAACTTTTCTTAACAAAAATAGGTGTCAGCAAAATCAATACAGAAAACAGCAAAAAATAAATTTTAAACCAAGAGTATGCACTTCAATCATGTCGAAAATCTCATGTAATTTTTATGGCCACAACAATAAACATATGCAGTAAAAGCAGCGTAATGTCAGTTTATGCACTGTATTTGTTGATAATTTTGTCCTTTTTGGCAAGTATATCAAAAATACGATTGAAGTGCATCCACTTTGATGTGATATTAAAATTATTTTTTTGCTGTGAAAACGAAATATTCCATGTGGATGATCGTTTCAAGCACCTGCGATGGATAAATTAATCAGAAAAAAGTAAATACATTTTCCTCTTTTTATCGTTCACGTCGAAAATTTCAGCCTTCATAACTCTTTTGATGGATCTCCTATTTGCCACCTGATTCTGAAACGGTCGCTCAGTTTCTACTGGATTCGCCTATTGTATGACATTTCCTCTCAAAATCGGCTTGCGCACTCTACATTGATGGTGCCTAATTACACGGTATGAAAAATGTACCCAAAAGTAAGTTATTTTCACTCATATCGGCACTATACTGCAGGTAGTCAAAAGTAGGGTAAAGCTGGTCAAAGTAGTTTTCATTTACATATGTGCAAATCGTTTGAAATTTTTCACTCGCTTTTTAAAGTAAGTAAGTAAAAAGTAAGGCTACAAAATGGTGAGTTGACAGCCTGGAAGGAGCGGAATACCTAACCCTGGTCCTCACAAGTTCCTACTTCACGCCTCCTCGAGTCATATGATAACTAAAGACTACCAGCTGAAACATGGACACAGCTGGGTAGCGTAGCCTGGGCAATGTTGCCAGTCTGGCAATAGCAAAGTGAAGAGGTGCGACGCGAACACTGGCGCGGTAACCATAGTACGGTGATAGTGGAAATGCTTCACCAAACCTCAGCGTCTGTTCACCATGAAGGTGCGGCTCAAAACGGCGTCTGTTATCCGATCACCGTCCTAGTGCCAGCGTGGGACTCTAAACAGAGCTGTGCTCGATGGTCCCCCGGCGAGACGGGGTTGGGGCAGGCCCAACAAGCCGTCCTGAAAAAAAAACAAAGTTGCAAATACTGAAGAAAGAAATACGGATTGGAACAATCGGCACATACCTACGTGACGAAATAAGGACTACGATTGGAAACTCGGAACATGGAACTGCAAATCACATGGCTTCCCGGGCTGCGATAGGTTAATCTATGACGAACTTCAACCACGCAACTTCGAAGTCGTAGCACTACAGGAAAGTTGCTGGACGGGACAAAAAGTATGGAAAACGGGCATCGAGCGGCTACTTTCTACCAGAGCTGTGGCACCACCAACGAGCTGGGAACCGGCTTTGTAGTGTTGGTTAAGATGCGCCAACGCGTGATTGGTTGGCAGCCGATCAACACGAGGATGTGTAAGTTGAGGATTAAGGGCCGTTTCTTCAACTACAGTATCATCAACGTGCACTGCCCACACGAAGGGAGACCCGATGACGAGAAAGAAGCGTTCTATGCGCAGCTGGAGCAGGTGTACGACGGCTGTTCGCAACGGGACGTCAAAATCGTCATCGGCGACATGAACGCTCAGGTAGGACGGGAGGCTATGTATAGACCGGAAATCGGGCAAACAGCCTGCATACCGTATCGAACGACAACGGCCAACGATGCGTGAACTTTGTAGCCTCTCGGGGTATGGTAGTTCGAAGTACCTTTTTCCTCCGCAAGGATATCCACAAAGCCACTTGGAGATCACCTTATCAACACACAGAAAACCAAATCGATCACGTTCTAATCGACGGGAAATTCTTCTCCGACATTATCAACGTCCGCACGTACCGCAGTGCGAACATAGATTCGGACCACTACCTAGTTGCAGTATGCATGCGCTCAAAACTCTCGACGGTGCATAACACACGTCGAAGTCGAACGCCGCGACCAACATTGTGCAACTACGGAACGCCGGAGTTGCCCAGGACTACGCGCAGCAGCTGGAAGTTGCAGTACCCACGGAAGAGCAGATTGGCGCAGCTTCTCTTGAAAATGGCTGGAGGGACATCCGTTCCGCCATAGGTAGTACTGTTGCAGCGGCACTAGGTAATGCAATCCCGGACCGAAGAAATGACTGGTTTGAATGCGAATGCAAACTGTTAGTAGAGGAGAAGAATGCAGCACGGGCGAGAATACTGCAACACCGCACGAGATTGAATGTGGAGCCACAGACAAACAGACGTAACTCTTCATTGTGTATCTTCGTTCACGCATTTAACGGTTGATTTGAATATTATCAGTTCCGCGAACTACTCGCCGCAGCGCTGGCATCGGATCACTTTGACGTTTCTATACATTCTATAGAACTTATATGCAATATTGTTTGCGAGTTAGCAAGCTCTGAGTGGCAAGCGGTGGTCTACTCCACCTACTATCCAAGCTCATGGCACCAAGATCTCAGAACCGAAGGACATCGCTGACAATTTAGGGAACTATTTTGCGGCCTGTCCGCTGTCAGTGGCTACGACAGCGATTTCGTCCAGTGCGTCAAACCTTCCACAAGCAGCATTCGTGACCTGCGAATTCCACCCAATGTCCCTTCCCTCCAGATCAACGATGCTCTTACCTTCCGGGAGCTTCAGTTTGCCCTCGGCAGCAGTACTGGTAAATCTGCCGGGCCGGACGAGATTGGATACCCGGTGTTAAAAAACCTTTGCCTCGACGGAAAAACGAGGCTACTCGCCCTCTTCAACGACCTATGGCTCACTGACTCGTATCCGGACCTCTGGAAACAAAGCCTGGTAGTGCCCATTCCGAAGAACAACGAGTGGAGAAGCCTCCTCCTTTAGGCCGATTGCGCTCACTTGCTGCGCGGCAAAAGTGATGGAGAGAATGGTAAATCGTCGACTTAGGCAGTTCCGGGAGTCTAACAGTCTCCTTGACGAGCGGCAGCATGCATTTCGGCAAGGACATGGCTCCTCCACTTACTTTGCAGCCCTCGGGAATGTACTCAAGGAAGCCCAGGACAACGGTCACCATGCGGAGTTAGTATCCCTTGATATTTCAAAGGCGTTCAACAGGACGTGGACGCCTGGCGTCATCAGGCAGCTCATCGGCTGGGGCTTGAAAGGCCACATCACGCACTTTGTACGGAATTTCCTCCTTGATCGTACCTTCCAGGTGACTGTCGGGAACACTCGATCGGATCCGTTCCCCGAGGAAACTGGAGTGTCATAGCGGTTACGCTATTCCTGGTGGCAATGAATGGGGTGTTCAGCCGACTGCCCATAAACGTGCACGTAATTGTCTATGACGATGACATACTCATCGTCGTAACGGAACGAACGACTAAACGGACCAGGAATATTGCCCAAGCAGCTGTCTCCGCCGTCAGCAGGTGGACGCTTTCTGTTGGTTTCCAGCTCTCCGCTCTAAAGAGTCTACTGGATCGGACTCTAAGTTTCGACCAGCACTTCAGATCGGTGAAAGAAAACTGTCGTAGCCGCATCAACATCGTCAGGACAATCTCCCGCCCGCACCGCTCCAGTAACCGCGAGATCCGCCTTCGTGTCGCCCGGGCTGTTATCGACAGTCGACTTTTCTACGGCATCGAAATTATCTGCTTAGCCACCGAGAAGCTGAACCGCATCCTCGCTCCGGTATACAAGACCTACGTACGCATCGTATCCGGCCTTCTACCTTCCACGCCTGCAGACGCTGCTTGTGCGGAAATC